AATTGAGCGTTGGACAGGGAACCGTTATTTATATAGATGAGCGAGGAAGGAGGAAGTGTGAGAAAGTACAAATATAGCTAGCTAATAATGTAGGCTAATTACAATCCAAGGTTTAGAAGCCAAGTCATGATGAGACATGCTAATTGCAGGATGTTTTCTCAAAATATTCTTGCACTCAAAAATTACACGGCAAATTCTCAAATCGGTAGTGCCACTTTGAGGGGAGTTCCCTCCGTCAACTACTACTTTTGCAGTGCAACTCTTATATCTTGTCGGGCAAATTACACTGAAATATCCTAAGGTTTGCCAAAGTTACAAGAAAATACCCTAACTTTCCTACCAGTGCAAATAAATACCCTAAGCTTCCCAAAAGTTTCAGCAATTAAAAAAGGGGTGATGGCATTAATTTTAGGCATTAAATGACATTATGGCTTCATAAAAAAAAACAAAAACAAAAATTAAAATACCACTGTAATAAAACTCCCACCATAGTAAAAATCCCCCTTTCTTACAATTTTCCAACTATGAATTTGATCTCATAATCTTAGGGAGCTTAGATTTGAAGTAATTAAGAATCTAGAGTAAATTATTGTAGAAGAGTTTCTTACCAAATATTCCAACGTAGAAAATAGAAATTTCAATGATAAAACCCAATGCAAGAAAATACCAAACTTCATTCATTTCATTCAAATCAACATGATACTTTTGAGAAGCTTAAGGCATTTATTTGCACTAGGTTTTATACACGTGCAATGCACGTGGTTAGATATTATGATTAACTATTTTTTGATTTTTTTTTCTAACTAAAGTTTGTTCATCGGTTCCACTTTAATAGTTTGTGCTTACTTTTGTCTCTAAAATTTATCATTGCGATTATTTATTTTCTTTGATGTTTGTTTAAATGGGCTATATCTAACTTAAATTTTCATGTTGATATTTGATTGATAGAATACAAATATAATCTGAAGCTAATTTAAATTTTTATATTATTTGGACTAACATAAAACCAAACTTTACTTGAGAAAGTATAGTGTTGCGAAAATGAAAAATATTGAAACAGTGTTATACAAGAAAAGTGAATATTTAAAACTAATAAGGCAAGATGATTGATTAAAAGTATGCTAAAACGATACAAAATAGAATATAAAATTTATTCCTAATCATTAATAGACTTCATAAAAATTATAAACTAAACATTAATGCTAGCTCTAGAGTATACTTTTAGATAATAAAAGCATCCACATAAGCATATAAAAGTACTAAAAAAGTTCATGAACCCCCTTTCTAAAGATTCCTAGTTTCATTCAAAACAATTAAACTATTCTATAAAATATTTAGAAATATTGTCTTTTATTCCTTTTATTTTTTTTATTGAGCTAAGATCATTCCTTCTTCCCCTTTATCTTTTTTCTTGGCAATTCTAGAATAGTGTCTTCATCATCTACATCGATTGTGACATCAGGCTGGAGTTGTATTTTTTGCACTGTTATCTTTCCTAGGCTTGTTATTCTTTGATCTTCTCGTTTAACTTCACAAAGAAGTAAAGTGTATTTCTGATGTTCAACACAAACTTTTTGATATACAAACTTTGATTTTTTTTTCCTATTTTAATGAGAATAAATTTTAATTTCATATATATAAAATTATTGGTGTTCCAAATTTATTGCTTAAATAAGATCAGGAGCTATCTCTTTTTCATCTACAATGAATTCTTCTGATATGTATCCAATAAGAGTTTCTATTATGTCAATAACATTACTTTTACTTTATCCCTATCATTTTTCACAAAGATCTGAACTAAATACATGTATTTTTTTATTAATAATTTGCCTTAGATTATAATATTAATATTTAATTTCTTTAGTATTTGAATGACAAAGTATAAATTTTATGAATACTTACTAATTTTTCTTATATCTTCTAGAATTCTTCTTTGATTGAGATAAAGTTGTTAATTATTCTTCGATGGAACTCAGTCAGTGCTTTCTTTATTCATTTGATCGCTTTATCATTTGCAATGGAAATAACTTGATTCTTTTGAATGATATATTTGAACATTCTGATAGTTTCTCTATATGTAATTCATTGTATTATTTTACCTTATAAATATTACTAACATCAGAGATTAATGTTTCTAAATTATAATCAATCGATGCTAAGCTATTATATTATAGTCTTTTATTATTTTTATGGATATAAACATCTATCAATTAAATGTTACTAATATATTTTTGCTGCTCCAACTTATTAGTAAAATTATATGCAATTACTTTGACTTATATGGTGACAATAATTTTAAAGCTATCATATATTTTTTTAAAATTTTATTTCTTGACCGAATATTTTTAATCATTTCTTACTTTTGTTTACCAATCATATATTTTTTTAAAATTTTATTTCTTGACCGAATATTTTTAATCATTTCTTACTTTTGTTTACCAAAATTAATTTAGACTACTTTTAGATGCTAAAAAGGGATAATAAACTCTTATGGTTTTGAACTTTAAGGGTGTGATTTATAATTTTTAAAATTTTGGGAGTATTTTTAAAAAATTACTTTTAAGTTTGGCAGTTGTAACTTCTATGTTTCATGTGTCGGTAGTAATTTTTTAATGTCAGAATATTTCCTACAACTCTAAAAATTTAAGCATTCTTTTTGCGATTATTAAAATTGTAGATAAATTTTTGAAAAACTCAAATATCAGTGGTCTGTAATAATTTTCAGATTTAATGTGTACTTGTTAGAATCTTTGAAATTTTAGAGTTTTTTGCGATTTTAAAATTTTGAAGAAGTCTTTTGTAATTTTTGTAACTTTAAGGTTAATTTTGGTAAATTTTTAATTTTTAGGTGCATGAAAGTAATCTCTCGAATTCATCTTTTGTTGTTTATAAATTTTAAAATTTTAGAATTTTATGGTGGTTTTTTATAATTTAAACTTTTGAGGGTGTTTCTCTAATTTTTGAGACATTGAATGTGTTAAGTGGAAAATTTAAAGTCTTTAGAGGTTGCTGTTAATTTCTTAATTTTGTGTTTGTTGTTCTAAGTTTGAAATGTTAAAAATTTTCAGACGCATCATGGTAATCCCTTGAATTCACTTATGTTGTTTGAAAATTTTAAAATTTTATAATTTCAGGGTGCTTATTTGTAATTTAAACTTTTGAGGGTGTTTCTATGATTTTTTGAGATATTCAAGTGTTAACTGCAAATTTTTGATTATTCATAGACTGCTATTAACTTCTTGATTAATGTTTGTTGTTTTAAGTTTTAAAATGTTAAGATGTCTTTTATAATTTTAAACTTTTCAGAGTATTTTGTGCAATTTTAAAACTTTTTAGGTTTTTTACAATACTTCATTATTATAGTATATTAGCTACATATAATTTCTTTATCTTAACAAACTAATACCATAAAGCTGTTTTATATATTTTATTAATATTTTTTTTAAATTGTTGAGTTATAGAGAGTTCACGTAAGATTAGAATATGATATAATTATAATTAGGATAGATTAAGATATGAATGAAATATTCAAAATAGTGAAGGGTAATATTGACCAAGAAAAGATTTTTTCGAACTCGTGCTTTTAAAAGGAGTATGATATGATGTGATATGATATAAATAAACAAACGATAAGATGAAGAGTTCTTTTTTCTTTTTCTTTTTTGACTCATTAGGTACCAAATTCAAATGGTCAATGGTATTTTTGTCCATAGAAAGTTTTTCCCAAACTCCCTCTTTTATAGGGAGTATGATATGATATGATATGATATGATATGAGATATGATATGATATGATATGAAGTATGATATGATATGATATGATGGGTAGGAAAATTATGGTATTTTCGTGCAAGTTTAGCAAACCTTAGGTTATTTAAGTGTAATTTACGCTATTCTGTCTCACTAGTGTACGCTTGGATCCTATAAAATATCACCTGATTCTCCGTGAAAAAGAAAAAAAGAATTCAGTGACAATATGCAACTTAGAAAAACCAAAATGCAAAAGGAAAGTGGTTCAATGCAATAAAACCTCCTAACTGTACTTCTATGCAAAGTTTTTTATTTGTTAAAAACTAACATGGTCAAAATTCTCTCCTGCCTCTCTCAAAATCCCAGCCCATGTTAACTCGATTCAGAAATCAAAGAGGCCAAATCTGAGAATCTCCAGCTGATGAGATGATGCTTCGGAGACTCGCATCTTCACTCTCTCCATGGTCCTCTTCTCCTTCTAGATCCCTTCTTGTCCCTCGATTTGGATATTGATTTTTTGTCGTACGTGCATCTTATCGAAAATTTTCGAAATATTTTGAATTCAGAATAGGAGAGAGATCAATTAGTTAGAAAGAATATTTATACTGTAATTTAGAATGAATAGTTGTACAACAATGCAGCCAAGGTGTTTGAGATATTGACTATGCAAAATAGATTGCAAATGGAACTAGATCCTGAAACCTAGTTTGGCCCCATCGGAAGACTATGGAGGTACTTTGGGATGCTTTTTTGTCTCGAGGACTAAATTCTGTCGAAATTATGTACGAAACATTTGCAATGCACATAAAAATGCAAATTGGCAAATATGAAATTGTTATTGTGGACATACCTCTGCCTGTATGTTTCAGTTATAGAGAAATCTCCTGCTTTTCTTTCAAATCTCACTGCTGGATATTGCTAAATTCGTTCAGACTAAGAAACTTGTAAAGACCACCTCTACCTTTTGGGAAGTCTAAAGCACAAAGATGTAGTTTTTAACTCGTTAAATTTGTCATATTTATCATGTTTACCTAGGTGAGCATGTACAGTTATAATATTGTGAACCACACCTGCACTTTACGTGCATATATCCACTTCGAACAAATTTCTACCTTTCGATAATTTGTTTGTTTTAATTTCCTCCAGTTATCAGGATGCTTGTCATTTTTATGTATGTCCCATCTGCGTTCCTTTGCTTCAAACAATCTCTTATATTTTGATCATGTTTTTTAATACTTTGAATGCAGGTACCATCGGGATTGATGTTCGAGGAACTCTTCATGACGGAAATTGTTAAGCTGGTATGCATGAATTATTCTTTCTCGTGCGATGGATAGTGATGAGAACCATAACTTTGTTTTCCTTGCTCATCAAAGCTTCTAAGAGATAATCAAGGACGTATGCTAGGATGTTGTTTTCTACAACAGAACATTTTGGATTATATTTATTGGTGTTGTATTACGTGAAAGTTAATTTACTTATTCTACATAATATTTTTTCTCTCTTGTTCTTTCTCACACACTTGAAAGTAATTTATTTGTTCTGCATGAATACTATTTCTTTCTTTCTTGTTCTCTCTCACACACATGCACACATAATCTCTCACCCATTTTCTTTACTCAATCTATTTCTCTTCTCCCTTCATGCAGGCAAAGGTAGGCGATGCTTCTAAGTTGAGGACTTATTTTATAACTTTCGTCTTGGGTAAGCTCTGATATCGTATGAGGCCATTCAGCTTTTCAGTTAAAACATCAATTGAACTGTAATAACATGATCTCCTTCTAATTTGTGATGCATATTTTCATCAAGTCTATAACATAAGAATATATGATATGGGAGAGTTCGCAAATGATAAACGAGCAGGATGTGGGAAATGATAAATGAGCCCTGTTCCTTGGATCTAATTTCATGCTTGAAGCTTCTTAAGGATGAAGGATATTTACTCTGGGAAAATAGAAATTCTGGCTAATCATATATATAGTGATCCCAAAGGAACTGTAGTTATGCTTTTTACGGATAGACTTTAATTTATGCATACATCACATGTGTGCATACCATCATGATTTTATCCGTGCTGCTTATCGTTGAACAAACTGAAGTATGAAAGACCATTGTTTGAGATTTTCGACCCAGTCATGATGTGTCAGTTCATCAGACAATCGGCTTTCTTTTTACAAGAGAGTGTGCTGAACTACTCAATGCATTGGTTTCTCGACACTTCAATAGTATCAAGAATATATTTATGGTTTCTTGATACTTCAATAGTATCTATTTTGAAGACTTGTATTACGTATCTGGGTGACAAAAAATATTCATTTATGTTGCTGTGTCCAGAGATCTGAAAGAAATAAAGTTGTCCATTTTTTCTTGTAACCTAACTAATTCCTATTCCTATTAGTGAAAGACTGAATGATCCTCACTTCGTTATTTTGTAGATCCATTTGCTTTGTGTTTCTTCATTAGTGTGAAATGAAGGTCTACTCCTGAATATTACTTCCTTGAATAAATATTGCCATGCTTTTGCTTCTTTTGGTATTGTTTGATTTTTCAAACTTTGCGAAACTTTGTGTTTCAGGTGGTCCTGGAAGTGGAAAAGGCACCCAATGTGCAAAAATAGCTGAGACCTTTGGATTTACACACTTAAGTGCTGGCGACTTGTTGAGGAACGAGATGTCATCGGACAGTGAAAATGGGTATATGGTGATATTGGTCTGTTATTTTTCAGCTTTTGATATGAGATTGACTAAATGTAAGCTGCATGCATTTACTAGCTGTTGGAATGTTGGTTTGCAGAGTAATGATTCATGATACTATAAGGGAAGGACGGATTGTTCCTTCAGAAGTAACAGTCAGCTTGATCCATAAAGCAATTGTATCAAGTGAAAATCATAAAATTCTGATTGATGGGTTCCCCAGAAGTGATGAAAACCGTATTGCTTTCGAAAGGATAGTAAGAATCTTTCCTCACATGTTGTTCATATTATTGTTTTAAGTTTTGCTACATATTCTTATCTGGTCATTGTTCCTTTCTCTTTTTACACCCTCAATGTTTTGCCTAAACAGTTGTAAGAAGAAGCCTCTTAGAACTAAGTTGTGTATTGCAGTAAGAGAACCCAGACACCATGCAAATATTTGAGGGAAACTGTAGATTGTTTTAGGTGAAGTGCTCTGACTCTGTTTTATTGTTTGACCAGTTACTTGATAAAAAATCGAGTTAAGCTGTGAAATGTCTGTTGTTGTTTCTACTCCTGACATAGATATCCTACTCACTATGGGCTTCGATGTGTATTATATTTAGGCCACATTTGTTTTTAATCCCCGGACTGGGGGGTATTGTATTCCCCGGACTATAGTACCGGGATTGTGTTATTCTGGGACTATTTTAGTCCAATTCAATGTTTGTTTTCGCATGGACTAACACACGGACTAAGTTAAAATAGTCATATCTAGTATTTATTTTTAGGGGGGTTATTACCGTTTGGAATAGTATAATTATCAGAACGTCCTTACCCTCAAGTCAACTAATATTGTATTCATGCATATGTATTGGAAAAAAAAGGCATGAACTTGTTTAACAAATAGACATATCAGTATACCTCCTTATAAATGATACAATAAACATTCATTTAACAAAGTGCTGTTCTGAAAAACTAAACATAGTTAAACATGAAATTAGATGTTAGTACTAATTAAAGGCTCTCATCAATTTCAACCATTTAGGCAAATAAGAATTCATATTCTTTTCCTTATGCAAAATGTGATCCTTTTTCAGTTTACTTGATAATTTAATATTATAGTTAACATAAGAGTGCAAGTTGAGCACACGCTAGGGCATCAAGAAATCAATATGCGCATGAATCGTTGTTTACATGTATTAATCTGTAAATTTTCCATTTCTTCACATTAACTTGAAGAACAAAATGTTCATAGGCAGTTGGATTTCTTTGTCATAACTTCAAGCTTGAAGGGACCTGTAGGGATGCATTGATGGTGTGTCAAGCTACAATTTCATACGGACAACTTTAAGCTAAGAATGTGACTCCATTGAGATCAAAATCTCGCAAAAACAAAAGGGCACAGAAGAAATAAAAGTAGTGGAAGAAAAACCGTGGAAAATTTATTGCAGAAAAAAATTGTTGAAGTCAAAATGGGCATGGGCATTTTTGTCAAAAAACTTAATCTCCCTTAGATAATTAGTACCTGTATTATAAATGTGGGGTGGGTTGTGTTTATCTTAGTCCCCTCTTTGGGGTATTAAGTAGTCCCTCCTTAAAAATAGTCCGGACCGGATAAACCACAAACATGAGCTTAAATGGGTAGGTCTAGATTATTTTAAAATAGTACCCTCACTATCAGAAAAACAAACATGGCCTTAGAGACATGGATTCAAGAACTCATGCATATGGTTATCTTTCTGCGTTCTAGTTTCCTACTTTTAGTCACTGTGATGCCCACTACGATTCGCTCTGAAATTAGCTTGGTTATCAAACTTTATGGTCAATTTGGGTTCCGTAGTTGCCCCCATGTGATGGATAAAACTTGTTTTTTTGCTTAATAACTGTGAATATTGTTATATAACTTACGTTAAGGATTCTTATTATTCAAATTAGAAATTGGCACACATGAGTATACTAAACTACAGAAACATTGGAAGAAAACCCCGATTTCAAACCATGTGGGCCTCCATGGTGGAAAACATGTCATCTAGAATATGTTGATAAAGAAACTTATGAATCCACATGAGCTAGAAGAGCGGCAGAGGAAGAAAAGACTGATCTCAGCTAGGTCAAACCTCTTTTATATGGGAAACTTAATCTATAAATAAAGGCCAACTGCGATCAGCAAGTAAGGTCAATAACCTATCTATTTGGGCTAACAACAGTGCTACGACAACCTAGTTACATGTCTTCCTGTTTATATGCAACCTCATGTCATGTAAAAATTTGTAGGAAAGGTAAAGTTTCTTTCAGTTATATATGCCTGTGTCAAGATGTAACACATACCAAGTATTCTTCATGATGCATATGACTTTTGTTGGGTTTTCTTTTACAAATGAATCATTGCTTCATGATATATATTCCCATCATTTAGTTTCGTGAACTTTTGGACACTTATGCCGCTTTTTTCCCCTCATTTGAGTGTGTGTATTAGGATTTCAACATCTGTGTGAATACCCTAGTGGAAAATAACCTTTATGTATTTTAAAATGAGAGAGATATCTGTAAGTTTTTAAAAGCTGTTGGCATTCTGGCATGCTTATTCTGGTCGTGTTTATTGCTTGTTGGGCAATTATTTTATTATTTATTCCCTTAAATGATATTGCAATTATGATCTTATCTGATTTGTTTGTAGGTTGGAGCAGAACCAGATCTTGTGGTTTTTTTTGACTGTCCTGAAGAGGAGATGGTGAAACGAGTTTTATGCCGAAATCAGGTTAAGCAAGCCAGCTTGCAAGCTTAAAGATAAAAATCTCAGATTTTTGTTTTTGCATTCGAGTTTATCATAATATTTGCACACATTGTCCAGGGGAGAATTGATGATAATATCGAAACAGTAAAGAAACGTCTCAAGGTGTTCAACGAATTAAATCTTCCTGTTATTAATCATTACTCTGGCAAGGGGAAGGTTCATAAGGTATTTTGAAACATATTTTGTACAATTTTTTTATATTGCTGACTATTGCATTATCATCATAGGTCTTCAGCATATACAGCTCTGGATCGATTTCAATCTGTGTGTTCTAGAATGTCTATATGGATATTCCAGGGCAAGCAGCAACAACAAAAACATGTTGATTCCAATTATTTGGAGTCGTGTACAGAAAGTTTTATTTCTTCATTAGTTTTGAACTATGTCCTATTTTCAGATTCATTTGAATCATAGTTGCGCGATTCCCTAGAACTCCCCCTTGAACCATTATACAGTTCATGCGAACCGATTCCCAGTACATTTACGAACTGATTCCCTCCGATACATGATTTGGTTCCCCAAAATTGATATATCATTTACAAGTATGTGGGTGTAAAGCCCCTTTAAAATGTGCATGCACAAGACGCAATGCAATGTGCACAATCAAGTGGAGGGGGACACACAATAGAATATATGATCCCACAACTTTACTATAACTAAATATCTATATTAATAAAACGTGAAATGAAACTAAAAACGGAACTAAAAAGAGGCCCACCTCCTTAAAAAAGAAGCATTGAAGAATTTTGTATGAAAAAATATTGAAATGCATAATTAGCTTTCTAGTTTTCTACTACACTTTGAAAAATTGTAATGCACCCAAAGAGAGATTTACAACATACTCCTAACCAAACTTTCTAAGTGGCAAATTGTGTCCCCGAATTCATACCATGACCCGTTACGTATTGCCAATGTTTTAAATATCGGTTATCAAAAATATATCAGATGGCCAAAATTTATATCGGATCCTAGTTATCGGGATATATCAGGGATAAATAGTAAAAATCGGAGTGTTACATCAGATGGTGAGCATATATAATACAATGTTTTAAAAAGTAATCTAAGCACATTTAATGAAACATAAACATACTAATATGTAAATAACACATGTTTAGGATCACTTATCAATTGTTTTTGTTTAGTGGAAGCGAAATAGAATAGGATAGTATTGTTTTTGTTTAGTATATGCGGGTCGAATATGGAAAAAATAGGGGTTTTTTGTCTCCAAATGCGAACCAGTTCACTTAGAATGTAAATTGTAGAAAATCGGGTGATTTTAACCCACGAAAAATCGGCCGCTTTATCGGATTTACACCGATATATTGGGGAAAATCGGCTCAAAACTATATGCGATATATTTTTGCAAAAATCATATCGGCCATAGCTTAAACCCTATATATCGGGGATAAATCGATAAACCTGGCCTATATTTAAAAATTACGTACTGCGTATTGTGTAACTATGCTTTGAATAGTTAAAGGATCATCTTGAACAGACTTGTATTCTAAGTTTCAGTACTAGGAAAATTAGCCCTGTTTTTATTTTTTTTTCTGTTTATTTGCAAAGCAGGTAGCTCGAAGGATTTTGTATGTAATTTGTTCCTGTTAACCCTCAATCTGTGAGATGACATGGCAATGTTTTGTGTTGCTACGAAACTTGGACTAATTTCACAGTTAGCATCCTAGTTCACATCGTAGAATGTTCATGCAATTTCTTTTATGTAGGTTTTCTGTCTAGCTTGCTTGTTTCTTTTTTCTGTCTAGCTTGCATATTTCTTTAGGAGACAATTTTTCTTATTTTCTTGATGCCTATGGACTATAATCATCATGATCCCTTTTTATAACTAGGTTGACCTTAATGAATCTCATGATACTGTTGGCTTCCCTTCGTTAACATATCAGTACATTACGTTTCAGTTAAGAGTTGCCTACTGTTGTTGTCCCCCTTAACTGATCAATTTTCCAGTATTTTTTAGTACCTAAACTGACAGGGTTTTGTATCTGATATGTAGTTCCTTCCCTTTTAGTTAACAATTTATTCTGAAAATGTATGCCCTGCAATTGTGGGTTTTCTTCATGTATTTTTAGGAAAAGTTTCTTTCTTATTAGTCCATCTTTAATCCATGGGCTGAATTTTTTTTTCTTTGCAGGTCAATGCAGTTGGAACTATGGAAGAGGTTTTTGAAAAAGTCCGCCCAATTTTTGCTGCTTTAAGGTATTTGACATTCATTATGCTGTGTGTTTCAATGCTGTCCAGTAAGGTGTATTAGTTTGATCACTAAGTCGCAGTTAGCATATGGAGCATCACATAACTATTCGGTGTTATAGTTATGTAGGATAACGTTGGATGTAGGGAACTTTCGCTAGCTTTGTAACAATTGGAGTCAATTTACGCACTTTTTTTTTCTTTTACCTTTTCCTGTATCATTTATCTTCGAATCTTTTGTTGCTCACATTGAGAAAAAATGTCAATTTGGATATAGTGTATATATCTGCAGTCTATATCTTGCACATTATTCTGCTATGTCAAAATTTAGTCGCCTCATTATGATTTATCTGATTCTGACAAGTTTTATTTTTTTTAATTACTTCTATTAAATTTCACTGGAATTTTAATGTGGTAGACCTGAATAATGAACCATACGAGGAGAAATGGAGGACTGAGATGTAAGTAGCAAATGCAACAATAACAAGAAGATGGACTAATGGTATGGAAGTAGGAATAAACTTGTGATTTTTTCCCCTCCCCTCTGTAAGCAACAGGTTGTGAGATCTGTGAGCTAGTTATTTTGAGAGGAGGTTGTTGGAGGCAAACCTGGCAAACATAAGACCAAGAAGCTAGCTAGGAAAGTCGACTAATTTTATCTATAGGGATGTTTCTGTACAAGGTGGCTAAGAATATATCATACTTAATAATCATCAAATTATGCGTGGTACCAAGGTATTCCTCAAAAAGAGACCAGCGAGTAGATTACAAAACATTATGAGTGTTCCTCTTTTTCAATTTATCTTATGGGTAAGAATATGGGGGTGCAATGCAACCCTGATGCAATTTGACCTTCTGCACGGTGTAGGTACCTGAATCGGATGTGACTTGGACTTGCTTTATTAAGTGTATCCTAAGTTAAACTCTATCAATATCAAACTACCAAGAGCTGTATGATGAAATATTTGCTATTGGTCGAAAAAAAATATTTATTTTTATCCATCATAGACCCATCTTACCTTTTCTTGAAATATCTATAGTTGCTATTCTTTAGCATACATATTGTGTAAAGGATAAAATGGTAAGAAATAAATACAAAAAGAAACGTGGGATCCAATACTACATTTGTGAAGGAAGCCACTTGCTCATAATTCATAAATTTCTTTTTTTGCCACAGGTGCTAACAGCCAAAGCTGACGATCACTCGAAAGACATGAAAGCTGCAAGGGCTCCTAGTTTTTTAATGGGAGATTACCCTCCTTGTTAGCTTTAAGACTTACTATTCACATTTGTATTGCTGGGGAAGACTGGAATTAATGTATCCAAATAACAGGTTTTCCATGTTCCATGTGTTGCCTGCAAACATATGAAACGTTGAGTTCCCAAAGAAAATAGGAACGGATAGTACATCTGAAGCATAAGCTCAGGTTATGACGTACATTTCTATGGCACACTGGGCATTTGCAGTGGTCGGTATAAGCATTTTAGTTCAATAACTGTTTATTCGCCCTTTTCAAGCTGCGGATACATGTCTCCTATATTGCAATTGAAATGCAGCAATTTTCCCGAGTGAAGTATACGCTTTTTTTTTACCAGTTTCATTCGCATCATTCTTTGATTTTGATTATTTTTCATCTATTAGGGATATTTTGTGTATCTGACAAACACACTTGTACTGCTAGAGGTTGCAAACACTCTACAAATCATGGGCTTCTTAGCGTAACCTTGTAACGACTTTCAACCAAACTGTTGTATTAATATCAATTATTCATACGCTAACCAACTGCCACTAGCTAGGTTTGAGAAACATGAAGAATCGTCACTATAACATAAATATTAGTTCCTAAAGCGGATATATGTTGCATATCTAATGCGATAGCCCCATACAAGGAAATTGGCATTTGTATGACCGATGCCTTTGCACACAATAAGCTGAGAACTTTGAAACTTGAAAGTTATATGGTAGATATGCAGCATATCTTATGTGATACAGTCCTAGTTTTTAAAGGAAACTGGCATTCCATAAGAACCGCCTGTGCCCGTACTAAAAGACTTGAGCATTGAGAGGGGGGTACCCAAGGCATCTAACGCTACTGGGAGAATGCAGAAGTTCTCAGCTCTCCTTGGAGCCGTATTCTTTGCTTTCATTCTCATTTTAGGTATATACTTTTAGCACCCGTTTGGATCGGGTATTTTGAAGAGGAAAGGAGGGGGAAAGCTGTCAATTTGTCAGCTTTCCCGTAAAATCGCCTCTTATAGAGGTGATTTTGCGGGAAAGCTGTCAAAAAGCTGACAAATTGGCAGCTTTCCCCCTCCTTTCCCATTCAAAATACCCGATCCAAACATCCCCTTACTTGTTGCTTTACGATACGGTGTGAAAAGTTAACATTCACGAGCTTTTTCCTCGGAGAATTTCTCTATTTTTCTAAAAGAAAACAACATGATTGTAGGGCAAGAGCCAGTAGCTGTGGATGGCCAGGGAAATTGCTCAGCAGTCGCGTGCCAAGATAACTTCTGCCAGTCAATGTGTGAGAGCTCTTTCGAAGGTAAAGTAGTGACGGGAAGCTGTGTGAATGGTGGCGCGACTTGTCAGTGTGTCTATCCTTGCTAAAGGTTAATTTATGGCACGGCAAGTTAATGTATTGCAAGCTTGTAGCATCAGTCTAATGTAATAAGCTTAAGAGTTCCAACAATTGTGAGAAGTTTGATGGTTATTTTGTTCTATTCGTTTATGGTGAAGTAGTGCAGCGTTCTGTATGCCTTCACTAGTATTCACTTAAGAAATCTTTTGAGGAAAAAGGAAAACTACTTTTACTGCATATTTCAGGGGGAAAAAAGGAAGAAGGAAAACAATAGAATCACTTAATCTTTATTCTATATATAGACGAAGTCAGGCATGGCTTGACACTTGTTGGCTGTTCGTAGTTAAATTTAAAATAAAAAGGAGACACGATTGTTGGACCCATACTAAATACAGTGTTTATAATAATAAAAAAAAGACGTTATGAATGATATGCTCCATCTTCCACAACCTCACATGCGCTGCTTTATTTTGTGATCTGCCGGATAAACCATTGAAACTATCCACTCAAATAATAATAATAATAATAATAAAAGTAAAATTTCTTTGAAACTGACAAAACATGTCTAAATTTTAGAGTTTTGATGGTGATGGATGGATAAAGAATAAAATGGATGGAGAAATAATGTACTCCAGAGTAGTGGCGGAGCCACATGGGACTTGCCTAGGGCAAGAAAGTGAAATTAGGGAGCCCCGTCGTCGACTTCTGGAGGCCCGTCGTCGACTCCGATGAGGGGAGCCATTCGACGGCCTAGCTCAAGGAACTTCTCCTCGCTTCCCCGCTCAAAGCTAGGTTTTGTGCCGACTCCGACGACGGAGGAGCAGGAGGACGAGGCATCTCCTTCGCCGATGTATAGGTCTTGAGATTCATCGCCAGCCAGAATTATTTTTTTGCCCAGGGCGAAAAAAAAATCCTGTCTACGCCACTACTCCAGAGGTTCTAAGACACACTTTGAGAATCTTCGGGCTATCAAAAGATAAATTGTCCATTATTTGCAGATATATGTTTCTAGGGATCTACGATTTATTTGTACATTTGCATGTTAAGACTAAAGAATTTCATTTCGGTTGCACAAGCATTCAACGTGGCAAGATATAGTTTACAGAAACTAAATTTATAGGAAGGTTAATTTGGCGCCTGACATGGAAAGAACTTTATTAGTTTTCAATGGATGCCTTCCAATAAAAAGAAAAAAAGAAAATGTTTCATGTTCTCTTTCCCACTTCCTATTGAGTTCCCATCCATTCCCGCATGGAATTTGGACAAGTAAGATGACTTGATAGGATACAAATATGAAGCGCAGAAAAGTTAGAACTACATTTGCTAGCTTACGGCCAGATAAACAACCCCATAGAGCCATGGAGAAAAATATTTTTAACATCCATCTGGTATAAGGGCCAACGATGAGCAGCAGCAACCGCAAAAAGAGTACGAACGGTCGGCATCTGATCAACACGAGCAAATGTTCTCCTCATAATCAATATCTTGTTGTTGAGTAAAATCTTAAGCCACTAGACGAGATTTACGATGTTCAATGGTGCCATCAGGACGATACTTAACCTTATAAACTCATTTACTGCCAACTAAAGATATGTCAGGGGGACAAGGAATAACATCCCAGGTATGTGTTTGCTGAAATACCTAAAATTCCTCAGCCATAGCCTGTCACCACTCTGAAAATTGAATGGCCTCTTGAAAGGATTTTGGCTCAACTATAGTATGAATGACAGCAAGAAAATTATGAAAGATAGATGAATAGGAAGTAACTGAAGCATACCATGCAGGCATGACATGTAGGTGTTTGCCTCGACGAAGAGCAAGAGGAACCTCAAGCGGGGGAGATGCTGACACAGGTGCATGGAGGTCAATAATATTTTTAGAATGAGTGTCATGTCTACGGGATAATGATCAGATGGTGGAAGAGAAGGCTCAGGTGAGGGAGAGTCAACAAAATGAGATGGAAAGATTTTAGGGAGATCTCAAAAGGAGAACTGTGGTAAGGAAATGGGTGATGCAGTTGGCGGAGAAGCACAATCAATAGTGTGGAGGAAATTGAAATTGTCGAAAGCAGAATAAAATAGAGAATTCTCTTCGAACTGAACGTGTCGATATATATGAACTCGATGAGATGCGAGATCATAACAACGACAACCTCGATGTTCCGAACTAATTCCTAAATAGACACAGAGAACAGCTCTGGGAGACAATTTATCACGTTCGTGAGATGGCAAAAAGAATGAAACAACGATAACCAAAAATGCTAACCAGATCATAACGGGGAGGATGAGTATAAACACGACTATGAGGAGTAGCACCGGAAAGAGAGCTAGATGGAATGATATTAATGGCATGAGTAGCAGTAAGAATGGCCTCAGCCCAAAAAAGATGAGAAACTAAGTAAGAAATAAGAATGGATCGAGCGGTATCGAGAATATAATAATGTTTGCATTCATCAATACCATTTTGCTCATGAGTATAGGGACATGACTGTTAAAAGATAGTCTCATGAGAGGACATGATAGAGCGCAAGGTAGAGAATATGTACTCTTTGGCACAATCGGGATAAAAAACTTTAATACGAGCTTGCCATTGAGTGAAGATCATCGTAGTGAAGGCTTGATAAGCAGCAAGTACGTCAGAGCGATTTTTAAGTAGGTAGACCCATGTATAACGAGAGAAATCATCGATAAAACTAACATAATATAAGTAGTCAGATGAAGAAGGCAGAGGAGCTGACTCCCAGATATCAGAATGAACCAAATCAAATAAGGAAGTGGAAACATATGTCCTAGTTGAAAACGGTAGAGTAGTGAATTTAGCCAATTTACAACCAGTACATGACTCAATATGAGAACGAGATGATACATGACCAAGTACTCCGGACTAGATAAGACTTTCTAGCCTTTTATGAGACACATGACCAAGTCGTCTATGCCACAAATCTGCAGAAAGCAAGGTAGAGGATTTTGGACTTATAGAAGCAACAAGAGAACGTGGACGTATGGACTCTGGAAGGTAAAGATATTCCAGCAAATATAGTTCATGTCTCCTCCGAACGGCCCTAATAGTCTTACTCGTCTGTGGATCCTGCATAATATAAGTATCAGAAAAAAATAAGACAAGTAGGCCATCCATACATAATGAGCTAACAGAAACTGAATTCAAACACAACTGAGGAGCCACATAGACAGGGCTAAGAGGTAGACGACCAGATGGGTCAATTTTTGGGATGATAGAGCCAAACTGAGTGATAGACAAATGTTGTCCAGCAGCTGTGTAGATAGGGGAAAAAGAAGAGGAAGTGAAGACAGAAGATATGAGGGAAGCATTACGAGTCATATGAAAGGAACAGCCAGAGTCAATAATCCAGAGATCAGTCATACCAGAGACCGAAGGGTTGGCTGAAGAACTAGCAAGTCGCATACCAGAGAGTTGTGTAGTAGATGTAGAGGATCTATGCTGAAGAACATCAATTTGATGGTGAATATCAGAGAGTTGTGCAGCAGATGAAGAGGTGGTATGCTGAAGAGTCGTAATTTGACGGCTACTATTTGCAATAGCTTAAAGAGCCTCCATTTGACGGTGAATATCAGAGAGTTTTGTAGCAGATGGAGAGGTAGTATGGTAAAGAGCCGTAATTTGATGGCTAATATCTGTAATAGCTTGAATGGTAGGGTTTGAAGTGGTAGATCGCATAACATTGACCGATAATCCTGGTGCACTAGAGGATTGGGACTAAGGGGATCGCCGACTATGGCCAGTTCCTGAGGAACGTAACTCAGGATGAACCTGGAAACATGTTTCAAAGCGGTGTCCCTCCTTCTTGCAATATGTGTAAAAGAGCTTAGACTGAATCTGAGAAGCAGGTGCCAGTAAAGAGGCCATAATAGCAGCAATTCAAAGTTCAAGATAATAATCTTTGAACGAAACTCAAATGTTTAAAGGAGAACTCGAAGGTTAATGTAGAAACCTGAAGGTTAAAATGACTGTCAAATTTGAGAAAAAAGAAGCAA